GAGCCGGGAGCAATTCAAAGCTAGAGAACTAATGGGGAAGAGCTGACAGCGGGCGCTAGGGGAGGGGACTGCTGTTGCCGCCACCGCCAGGTTTAGGAGCTGGTTGGTGCATGCATCTCAGGGACCTGACTCCGGGGTCCCTTGGAGAGCTGGGAGGAGCAAGAACTGCGCGGCCCAGATTAATTGCTTTTGGGGGCCATTTCTTCTGCGGCCCACCAAAATTTTTCCACGGCCCACCAGTTGGCCTACCGGTTGGCGACCACTGATATATATGGTATAAATATACCAGTATGTCTTCATTATTTTCTTGGATCATGATTTAACTGGAAACTGGAACAATGATGGCACGAGGAATATTCATACAACACTGAATCCTGATAGGTGCCAAGATTCACTACTTCCTAGTGCTGTTTATATTTTCTCCTATGCTACATCAGTAACAGAAGATGTAGTCTTTCTATGACCATACCCCTGACTCTTACCACTTGCCTAATAAAGTCCACAACAGCATTTGAATGTGAACAAATTGAGAAGAACAGATCTCTAATTAGCCCCTTTTGGGTTATGTTTTAAATTTATATGTATTAAATGTGATCATGCCACTAATCAGTGCCACTAATGTTATCCCAAGGATAACATTAAAAAGGACAGGCTAATTGAAATTAACAACAAATTTTGAAAAGTGTTTTTTTTTTTGTTAAAAAGTAAGTTTATAGTTTAGATTTGTGATGAAATAATATTTTCAAACAACATGTAATGGGTGGAAACATTCTGTGTTCTTCAAAATATTTGTTGGATACTACAATATTTCTCTTTCCTCTTAGTACTGTTGTTCTGAGTGCCATTTCTTGTTCTAAAAAGACTTTAGGTTTGGATATTATAGATAAAAGATCATAGCACAACAAAAATAATTATATTTTTAAATCTGTGCTAGATAAATAACCATGCTATACATGTTTGCATTACACTGGGGAAAAAATGAACAGGAGGCTCATTTTGCTTTTAGAAATATAGGGGTTTTTTTCTTTAATATTTGGTAAGCTTACAGAAAACTTGTACTCTGCAGTTCTGATGTTATCTCACATTACAAAGGAATGCGATCTTTTAGAGATGTTATGCCCAAGTGTTCCAGTATTTCAAGGGAGATTGACTAATCAACTGAATTACAGGTAGTCCTTGACTTACAACCATTCATTTCAGTACCATTTAAAATTACAATGGCACTGAAAAAAGTAATTTGTGACCAATCCTCATATTTGCAACCACTGCAGCATCCGTATGGTCACATGATCAAAATTCAGGATGATGGTTACAGCATCCCAGGATTACCACTTGTCATCTTCCAAGCTGGCTTCCAACAAGCAAAATCAACGGGGAAAGCTAGATTTGCTCAACAAACATGTGATTCACTTAACAAGACTGGCAAAAAAAAAGTTGTAAAATTGTGCACAACTCACTTAATAATTGCCTTGCATAGCAGTATAAATTCTGGTCCCAACTGTGGTTGTAAGCCAAAGACTAGTTGTATGTGTAGGGTTAAGTTTATGGTAAGTCCAATATCCTGTGTTATTATTCCTGATTTTGGTAGCTTCTTCTATTTCTGTATGTCAATACATGATTCAAGTTTGGGGTCATGACAAAAGTTGAAGCTTTTGGAGGAAATGTGGGCTATGGATACAATCAATACCTAAATCATGAAGTAATAAAAAAGGAGATCTTTCTGTAACCTTGATCTGTCTGCTTCCTGCTAAACTATTCATGTAAACTCATCTGACAAGTCAATGAAATAAAGTCAACCATCCTCCAAATTAAGATCAGGGTTAGCTACACATGTGTTCATCACAAAGATGCACGGGGCATGTCTAAATTTTCTGAAATTTACCACATGGAGCTTAGCTTGCAAAAAGTAATATTTAGAAAAAATATAATATATTAGAATGTAAAGCTCAATTTCAAATATTAATTTCATGTTATTATTTCCTTTGAATATTTATTATTGATTAATTGACAGGATAAATATCAGTTATACTACAAGTCAGTGTATATACACACTGACACAAGATTTATATAGAACTGTTAGTTGCTTGTTGTTAAAACTGGAATGAGTCACCAAAGCTGGCATTATTATCATTAACGTTGTTGTTATTATTATCATTATTACTATTGTCTGTGGTTAGAATGCAGTATCGCAAGCTAACTCTACTCACTGCCATTAGTTTGATTCTCACTGGCTCAAAATTCAGTCAGACTTCCATTCTTCCAAGGTGGGGAAAATGAGGACCCAGATTGTTGGGGGCAGTATGCTAACTCTGTAAACTATTTAGAGAGGTCTGTACAGCATTGTGAAACAGTATATAAGTCTAAGTGCTATTGCTATTATTATTACAAGTCATTATTATGAATTGTAAGCTTCCCAGAGTCATTGACTGAGATGGCCAGCCATAGAAATTGAACAAACAAACAGACAAATAAAGGCCCTTCATGTTTCTTCCTGTTATTAATTTCCAATAGAATAAAATTGAGATGGAAACCACTAAATATATATTTGGGCTGGTGAAGTAAAATTCCACTCTTCTCCCCAAGATATTTGTTAATTCTGTTTCTACCACCTAGCCAGGCAAAATGTGCACTTGTTTTACTACAATATAAAAAAAAATTTTTAAAATCCCTGAACAAAATCTCAAGAGAGTTATTAAGGATGGAAATATCAAAAAAACCTAAACTGATTCAGAAGCAAAAGTTATATATTTATTGCTTATTCACATTAAAAAAATAACATCATCTTCTTTCTATCAGAGTTTTCAAATATAATAAAATTTGTTTGCTACATATATATTCTGCTTTTCTTCTAGGAACTGAAAAAGATGCATATGTCCTCCTCCAACTTTTCTCACAACTGTCCATGGAGTACCTCAATAGATAGAGGTGATACTTTATGAGGGAGGGTTGACTATTATAATTCCTTGAAAAAGTTGCTGGGTATGGCCTTGGCAATTATAGAGCAAATTGTTTGTTGAGTATTGTAAGCCAAGTCTAATCAGGCACTTAACAATGAAAAACATTGGATTGGACAAAAAAAAAGAGTTTAGGGAAGGACATTCCCCTATATATTTTAATATCTAATTGATAAATATTTATCAGTGTTGCAATTTTGTCCTTGTGCTTTTATTTATCAACAGATTAAAACTATACCTATGTAAGAATTAAATGCAGTTTGAATGGGATACTTTCTGATGCAATACGTAGTACAAGTACTTAGTGTAAGACAAGACTGTGTTTTGGTTGCTTTAATCTCTATATCAACATCTTATCCAAAAACTTAAATACAGTGCAGCAACATCCACCTAGATTATCTAATTTAACCATTCTGGTATTATCGTACATTGATTATGCAGTCCCGCTCTCAACAACTTTATTTGGTACTAAAGGCATTAGCCTGTAATTGTAGCAAGGATAATTTATTCATTAAGTACCAAAAGATCAAAATAATGGCCAAAACACTGAAGCTGCACCATTGAATTGTCCACTTTCAATAGACAGAGCAAGTTAAATGCTTCAGTTAACTGAAAAAATATATATTTCCCCCATACTCAATGGCTTACGTAGCTTGGGCTTGGCTGCCATCAAATTGTTCCAGTTGAAATCACTGGCACAGTTTGTTTATAATCTGCTGTGACACATACTCTAATTACATAACACTCATATTAATACAAACTAGGTTTCTCAGGGCAATGGTGCAGCTTCTGAGGTGTGTACCAGGTGCAGTTTTATGATTAGAGGCTGTAACCAGAATTTGGTTGCAGTTACTAATTATTGGTGTGTATATGAATACCTTATCCAAAATATGGCGAAATTGTGTGTAACAGCTTGCCACACAAGAGAGGAAATAACAGTTATGGTAGCTGCCATAATTTAATGTAAATGAAGTTTGTTAGAATTTTTAATAGGTATATATTAATTAGCCATAAGGGTTATTATTCTCTGTAATCAACCGTAATGGGGTTGGCCTTTGTTTGTAATAAAATCTTCTACTTGATCGATGGGTTAGAATGGATCAAGATAGAAGACTGGCACAAAGTCATCAAGTGAACTTCCGTAGCCGAAAGTGGTTCTATGAACGTTTGCATAATTCTGTTAGTTTTTAAAAATGTATACCTTATTCAATATGCAATGGGGTATATAGATAGGAAATGAATTCATGTGATAAGAGGTTCGAAATGTAACACAACAAAATAAAAAAAAGGATGGTGTGGTATACAAATGGGGATTATATAATTTCAAGATTGCACTGAAAAAAAAATTCCATTCATTATATACCAGTTATGTCTAAGCCAATATATCCCAGATCAGGGGGAGGAAAGCAGGTCAGAGCTTCTATTTTACATAATAGCGCATTGACTTGCAGGTGATTTTTTTCCCATGAGGGCCTGCTTCTAAGTGAATGCTTCCCCCATGAACCTCCAGGTGACCCAGGTTTGCAAGTAAAAACTGTGTCACTTCAATAGGCATGTTTGAATAAACTTTTTATCATCAAAATCCTTGGCCTGATTAGCTCAGTAAAGATTGGTTGTTTTCTTGATATTACAAACAATGCTTTCTCAACCAGGAGAAAGCATCATTGAGATCTATTTCCTTTCAGGTTTCTATGCCTTAAATCCCACTTGGAACTATTTTAGACCTGTTCCTCCTCCTGGCTACCTTAAAAAAAAACACCATCTAAAATTTCTTGTTCAAGACACACTACTTCCCATTATTTTGCAATGTGAATCATTGAATCATATGGATATCTCCTTGTATGTAAAGCAGCATCCATTGATTCAGGCTTTAAGGCCAGATATGAGGAAAAACAAAGCCCATTCATACCAAATATATATATATTTATTTATTGGGAAGAGGCTGGCATATTTAGCAATTCATATTCATAATTACCTCTCCCATTTCCTGAGATCAGTAGTAGATGCTGGAAGAGGAAGATGCGGGCTACAAAGGATTCCTAAACTGGTTTGGGGATTTAAAATTACAGCCAGGAGGGAGGAAGAAAGGGCTGAGGCACTGGTAAATTTCCAGAGACTCCTGCATAGAAGAATGGGAGAAAGGAGGGGTTTAGGGTTTCTGACGCATTATGAAAGGAAGATGAGAGGAAGTGCCTTGATATATTTCTACTAATTGACAGAAAAAGAGCTCTAATAGAGGTAGAAGAAAGGAATAAATAAAGCTGGGGACCCGATTTACCTACTGCCACTTAAGATTACATGAAACCCTTGACTGTAAATCAGAAAATCTAGGGTACATATAACCAATTATATGGTTTGCCTGCAGTGAGCATCTCAATGCCAATCTATGGTTGAGACACATGGCTACTATGCGTTTCCAATTAGAAGCAACTATGATTCTCAGGTAACAATTACTTTAATAATTCTCAAATATATTTATTTATAAATGCCTAAATTTAATTTAATTATATGAAAAGCTGTTAAGTACCCTTGCTATTTTTGTACTGATTAATAATGTTTTCAGTTTCTGCAAAATACTAAACTGTGGTTGGTTTAATTCTTCAATGTAATAAAGGCCAAATAAATAACTTCTCTAACGCTTATTTCACATAGCAGATAAAATTCAGAGGATTTAAATGATTCAACTAACAAACATAATTTGCTAGAATTATAAAAATGGTTCCAGAGTTTTTTGTTTTTGTTTTTTTAAAAGCAATTATTGCCAGAAACAAGAAATGAAAATGAAAATATATATATCACATTTGCTAATGCATAAATAAAAATTTAAGAAGATGTATGTTGAGAAAGATGGGCTCATTCTAAATAACTGATGCCTTGAAGCATTGCCTAACAAATATCTTTCAAGCAGAGTTACTTGGTTTGGTTAAATATTTTATTCCTTAAATTTGATTTACCTGGCTTGGTTATTGCTTGTAGGGATACGCCATCTAATGATAGAGCTATTCACCAAAATTCAGGCAACTGGCAAATCCAGATCTGAACATTACGGAGCCTGGAGCAGAATAGGGCCAATCTAGTTAATCTTGAGTAGGTTTGAACTTTCACAAACCTTCTGTCTCACTCAATTTCAGGAGATGAGGACAGCAAAATTATTTTCTTAGTAAAATAGTCTGGGGGATGGAAGAAGAATGATGAAGATACTATTGGATTTCATTGCCTGGAAGTGATTTTTTAAAAGTCAGAATGCTCTTAGTGATCAGGTAATCCCAAAGGGATAAAAGAACTGAATTCAATTTTTAAAAATTGCTCAGGATTTAGACATCACGTTGGAAGAAAGAATCTGTAGCTTGGGTCCCAAGCAACAAACTGGGCCATTTCTGGTCTCTACTCTTGAACCAAATACACTGGCATATTAATCACTAATTTTTATTAGTGGATATTTTAAAACGTAATCACAGTCAAAAATAGCATATTTAATGGCATAAATTTGACTGGCCTTATTTTTTTTTATAACATACATATAACACATGCTTAAAAGTTGTATTTGGGTTATATAATGCATACTACAAAGTTTACATGATAAAAAGTCTAAAATGTGAATACCTCTGTTAACTAAGAGGGAGTGGCTTCTACAATGTTGTAATACTTTCTAGCAATTTATATGGTATTAAATGCTTAGATTGTGTTTTGGTGTACATCGCAGATACGTTTCAGATCAATTCATCTGAGACAGGTGTTAAACTTCCATTTGAAAAAGATATAAAGATTTATAAATAAAAATATTATATCCTGAATAGAAGTGTTTGCAGTGGCTTTCCTTCCTTCTGTAAATGTTCACTCATTAATGTCCTCAAGCTTTTTAATAGTTACTGGTGTTTCTATTGGCAGTTGAACTGGAATAAGATCCAGTGCAACAGAAACCTAGACTTGTAGAGGAAAAACAGCAGTCCTGAACAAATTTAAAATATTTGTTGATATTTTTCAGGGTTAGGGCTAGTCCTACCTTGGAAATGCTACAGATTAAAATATCACTATAAAAAAAGGGTGCATAAAATATATACAGACTTAAAAGAACAAACCTGGTTTATGAGAAACTTTCCATATTTGGACTTTAAAAATTAATTAATAAAACCTTAAGGAGAAATGATGGGCAAGCACCTATTCCTGCTTCTAATATAAGGATTCAAATAATCAGCTTAAATTAAAACTGTAGCCTATGGTTTTGGTGCTGCATTTAAGATCAAGGTTTTGTTCCTGCAGTAAAAGCCATTAAAAAAACCATGCATATTTTGTTTCTAAAGTTTTTTGGGGGGTCTTTTGATACTTGCTCGTGATAATAATCTGGTTTTTTTTTTGTTTTTTTTTCAAAACTTGAAAAATGTCATCTTCTGAATGGGGAAAAAGACAACAAAAGCCTGAAATCACAGGAAAAGTAATAGAGAGATCCAGCTCACCTTGAAGCCCATTTCCATTTGCGCTGGTGCAAGATGGCGGAGGAGAAGCTTGGGGCCTGACCACAGGAGCAAAGGCGCTCTTTTGTTTCACTGCAGAGATGACATTGGCAGGTGAGAATGAGAAAATGCCGTGTGTACTGCTACAGTTTGAAGGAAGGGTGACCGAAGAGGCTGCCATGGTAGGGCTTGACGGCACTACTGCAATAAAGCAAAAATAATCAGGACTCATATTGAGGATGTTTATGGCAAACAGGAAGGGAAGGGGGAAAAAAAGATGTATCGTAGAGCCTCGCCTCCTTATGGGAAGGATAATAACATATATAAAAATAAAATGCTTTGGCTTGCCACGCTCTGGATAACAGGCAAACTCTTTTGTCTTGGACTTCGATTATAAATTGAACAGTCCAAACTGGTACTTACTTTTTCCTCTTTTAACATTAATTTTGTTTTTTTGAAAGTACCAATATATTGTCTGTGATCTTTTTCCTTTTCTTTTTTAAACTGTCCAGCCTCCAGAGTCACCCCTCCTTTTATCCAGTAGCTTATGTCGAAGGAAATTACAACAAAGTAAGTTCTTAGCAAACAGGAATGATGTGATGATGTGCCTTAGAAAGAAAGACTTACTGCCGTAAGGGGAGTTCGCAGTCGAGCCATTAAGAAATCCAGGGGAACCAGGTACACCAAGGTTGGGCATGCTGGCATTGCCGTATCCATTCATACTATTGCTGACTGTGTTGTAATTGGACTGTTGAGGAGTACTGCTCGGGACGTATCCTCGCGGGGAAACACTGCTTGTGTTGCGACTGTAACCTACTGAATTGGGAGGAAAACCCCATCCCAAGAAAAGGATTATTATTATTATGGGGCATGAAAAGTTTACTACGACATCATAGATTGCACAGCTAAATGTCCATGGAGATTCTCAATCATCCATGCCATGGCTGTCCCATAGGGGTCTAGGATAACTCGCTGAGGTCAACTTGCTGCAGCCAACTCACCACAGCCAACTCGCCCTAGCAAACTTGCCATGGCCAACTCACTGTGGGCCAACTCGCCACAGGGCAAGAATTACACTAGTATCACAGAAATGGTGGGATAGAAACATTAAAGAAAGGATGCCAAAATGAGGGACAAAATGAAATGTGAATGACAAAAATTAAAATATTGTTTAAATTACTTTAAATAGTTAAATTGAATTATTGAATTGTCCTGCAGCAGGTTGTCACGCAGTGAATTGGCGATGATGAGTTGTCCCATGGCAAGATCAGCATGGCAGGTTGGCCATAGTGAGTTGGATGTGGTGACTTGGTCATGGCAAGTTGTTCCATTCTGGTCCCAATCGGTGCTTTTCCAAAAGGCAACTGGACTTGGTTTTTCTTCTTGAAAATGTTTTGCTTCTCATTCAAGAAGCTGAACTGAAGAAGTTTCTTGGATGAGAAGTAAAATGGTTTCAAGGAAAAAAAAAAACCAAGAAAGTCCAGATGCCTTTTAGAAAAGCACCTTTGGGACACAGATGGCAGACTTTTGACTGATCGCACAGTGTTGGCTTATGTCATTTGCTCTTTCATCTCTTTGTATGGAAAGGTCATTCTTTTCACACCGTCTCTACTTAAACTATCTGTGATCACCCTGAGTTGTTCCTACTTCTGGCAAACACATTTTTTTCAATGTGGTTGTGTCAATTTCATTCAAATTTGTCAATAATTCTCATAATTTAAATGGCTGGGTTGCATCACCAATCTAAGCTTTCTCTTTTAAAGTTTTCAGATCACATATTTTGCAAAAGTAGTTATAAAGTCATGTAGCTTTCCACAGAGATATAAAAAAACTGTTTCGAAGAAAAATTTCCTTCTTAACATTGATAATTTCCTATTAGAAATAAGAAAACACTTGTTCTATTTATCCTGCTTTAACAAACATTGAACAAATATAACAAATATCTATGCTTCAGTGTAGGGAACACATTTTTTGATAGCAACATGACTCAAGTAAGCTTTGTTAAATTGTAAAAGAATATATTTGAAAATCCCATGAAAAAGATGCTGGGGCATGTATTATAGAAATTATACGCAATCCAATCCATGTCTATGTGAAAGTAAATCAGAAGGATTTATTCCGTGTTCTATTGTTAGGATTGTAGCCACAATTAATTGATTCAGTGTATTTGGCTACAAATCGTTGTTTTAGTACATAGTCAAAGGCTATGTCCATATTGAGCATCAACCTAGAATTTAGTGTTACAAGAATTTATCTTCCACAAATTTGTGTAATTCCTTCCAGCCTAGGCACAAGAAAGAAGCTTCTGTTTCAGATTAATCACAGTATCAAGTAACCATGTTATTCTTGCTTATTTATATGTGTCAAAATAAGATAAAATAATTGCTTTAGATTTAGAAAACAAAGAAAGCGCTTATCATTGAAATATGGAAATAAAATTGTTCAAATTCCTTCACCCAAGTACTTTTGATATGCTCAAGGGAGGCTAGCTTATTTTGACACTATTAACCCATAGTATAAGCAGCATGTTGAAACCAGATGGAAATTATGCATTTCCATAACCTTAATATATTTTGGTATTAGCAAAATAAATTTACTGAAGCATGTTTAGTCAAATATGTCAAATTTAGTAGAAACTGGGTATCACAATTCCTATTAATTGTAACACACAAATTTATTCTGCTCAAAAGATAGGCATCTATGCAGGTGGTCCTCAACTTACCACAGTTTGTTTAGTGACTGTTCAAAGTTACAACGGCACTGAACAAAGGAATTATGACCGGTTTTCAATGTTATGAAATGAGCATGTGATCAAAATTCAAATGCTTGGCAGCAGGTTCATATTTATGACTGTTGCGGTGTCCCAAGATCATGTGATCAGCTTTTGTGACCTTCTGACAAGCAAAGTCAATGGGGAAGCCAGATTCACTTAACGACCGGATTACTAGCTGATCAACTACAGTGATTCACTTAACAACTGAGGCAAGAAAGAAATTTTGGGATCAATTGTGTTCGTGAGTCAAGGACTACCTGCAATTGTAGATCATAGCTGATGATCATTGCTGATGATCTCTTTATTAAAAAAAAAAAAAAAACTTCTGTCAAAACTTTATAAAGGAAGAAGTGTGATTTGACCGAAAGAGAGCGGTAGCAAAAAGCAAATTGTAGATGTAAGGAAAAACAAAGAAAGATGCACTAGCAATCTTTCCAAAGTTATAAATAACTTTGGTTTTCAAATTTCATATTTTTCAATGTTTAGTTATTATCAAATTCAAGTTATTAATTCTTTCCAATTAAGATAACATGACAAAATGAAATAAAATTGAATGAATCTCAATACTTTCAGGGAGCTAATTGCATAACTAAAGTAATGGTTTTGTAGAAAGGTAACTTTGCTGCATAATTCATAATTCTTCACGTACCTTGGTCGTTAGCCTGTGATGTTTCTGAAACATTAACTGCTAGCTGGCTGCTAAATGAATTTACTCCCATCATACCAGTATGAGCTGGAGTGTTGGCAAGTGTAGGAATCTGATTGTGGTTACGTGGCACACTATATAATGCTTCTGCAATATCAGCTGCTCGTTTCAGGATTATTTCCTATGAAACAGTAAATGGATAATTTTTCTAACATATAATATCATTTAATTACCTTATATTTCATTTAGCAAATCCTAATAAATAATGCCTGTGGTTATATCAGGCAGGATTACTGTATTCTTGGCAAGATTACACTCCTTTTAATTTACAAGTATTGTACATTGTATGGTAAAAATTGTATAATTTTCCAATAGTGAACCCAGGGTAGAAATAGTTTAAACATCTTGCTAGCGCTCTTAACATCTGTTTCTTTAAAAAATAAAACATTTCTTTTTGTATTATGCAACAAATTATTGTTTTGTTATTTTGTAATACACAACTTGTGTTTTTATCTGGTGCAGCCTTTTTTAAAGCTGTGATCTGCTTAATTGTACCAATGTCCTTGTGTATCTCTTTGGACATGACTGTATTTGCGAGGAAGACAACGGGGATCTACCTGTTTGTTGTGGGGCATGCCATATAGCAATAGCACTTAGACTTATATACAGGGGTGGGATTCCAAAATTCCAGCAACCAGTTCACTGCCCAGTTGCTGGGTGGGCTTGACCTACCAGAACTTCCGGGAGGCTGTTTTTCACCTTCCCAAGGGTTCAGAGGTTTCCCTCGGGCCTCAGGGAGGGTGAAAATGGCCTCCCAGGCTCTGGACGCCCTCCAGAAGCCGGAAACAGACCATTTTGCAACTTCCGGTACTTCCGGTAGGGCTATTTCCCCCCCCCTCCCAGAGCCTCCACGCGGACCCTGCACTTACCTGCATTGAAAATGGGCCACGTAGAGACTCTTGGGAGGGGCAAGGTGGGAGGGGTGAGCCTGTTGGTTCAAATACCAGTTCAGCAAACCAGATGCAAATTTAACATCTGGTTCATTCGAACCGGTCCAAACCGGTAGAATCCTATTGCTGCTTATATACCACTTCATAATGCTTTACAGCCCTCTCTAACATTTACAGAAACAGCATATTGCCCCCAACCTGTCCTCATTTTAATGACTTCAGTAGCATGGAAGGCTGAGTCAATCTTGAATCAGTGAGAATCAAACTGCTGGCAGTTGGTAGGATTAGCCTGCAATACTGCTTTCTAACCACTGTTCCATCACGGCTCTTCTATACACAGCTTCAATGCCTCTCTCTTCCATGCCTCTCTCTCCATCACTACCATCTCTCCCTCTTTTTTTATGTAATTGATCACATTATTGTGACAGCTGCTGCTTAAATAAGCAAAGTTCCATCATTCCAATGGTAGCCATTGCATGTTACCGAATCATAATCTACTCTACTGGTCCAATATGGGTTGGTAGATAGATGTTTTTCTATATCTCCACTGTGTACCTGAAAGTGATGGGCAAAAACCTCATGCAACCAGCTTCTCTGACTATGGAAGGAATCTGGAGCTCCCAACTCCTGGTCCAGAACTTTAACCACTACACCACACACCACAGAGGCTCTCAATACAGTAGAACCTCTGGTCACAAATGCTTCTGACCACAACCAAATCAAGTT